CTGGAGGCTTTCAAGAAGAGACTGGACTGCCATTGGTCAGAAATGGTGTAGGGCCTCCCACTTGAGCAGGGGGTTGGACTAGATGACCTACAAGGTCTCTTCCAACTCTGTTATTCTGCTCTCCTTCCCTCTTTCTTTCCTTCCTTCCTTCCTCATCTCTGGAGGCTTTCAAGAAGAGATTGGATGACCACTTGTCATAAATGGTATAGGGTCTCCCACTTGAGCAGGGGGTTGGACTAGATGACCTACAAGGTCCCTTCCAACCCTGTTCTTCTGCTATCCTTCCTTCCCTCTTTCCTTCCTTCCTTCCCTCTTTCCTTCCTTCCTTCCTCATCTCTTGAGGTTTTCAAGAAGAGATTGGACAACCACTTGTCATAAATAGTACAGGGTCTCCCACTTGAGCAGGGGGTTGGACTAGATGACCTACAAGGTCCCTTCTAACCCTGTTATTCTGCTATCCTTCCTTCCTTCCTTCCTCATCTCTGGAGGCTTTCAAGAAGAGATTGGATGACCACTTGTCATAAATGGTATAGGGTCTCCCACTTGAACAGGGGGTTGGGCTAGATGACCTACAAGGTCCCTTCCAACCCTGTTATTCTGCTATCCTTCCTTCCCTCCCTCTTTCCTTCCTTCCCTCCTTCCTTCCTTCCTTCCTCATCTCTGGAGGTTTTCAAGAAGAGATTGGACAACCACTTGTCATAAATGGTACAGGGTCTCCCACTTGAGCAGGGGGTTGGACTAGATGACCTACAAGGTCCCTTCCAATCTACCCCTCTAATACTGCCTTCAAAGAAAAAAAAAAACAGAAAGTCCAGCCTCTTGGGAAAAAACACATTTTGGAGACAACCATGGCCTGCACGATGGAGAACCTCCATAAGATATTTAGCCATTGGGGGGGGAAAGTGTTTTATGACCGATTTTCACACTTAACGGCCGTTGCAGCATCCCCAGGGAAGTCACGTGATCAAAATCCGGACGCTTGCCAACCGTTTCGTATTTAGGACGGTCGCGGTGTCCCAGGGATGATCACCTGATCCCTTTTTGGTGACTTTCTGAAAAGTTTAACTCCACAAGTCAGCCCTGTTCCACTTAACAGCCTTCACAACTGCAGCGATTCACTTAGTAACGATGGCTGGGGAAGTTGTAAAGTGGGGCCAAACTCCTTGAACCAAGTGTCCTGGTCAACAACAGATATTCTGGGCTCGATTGTGGTCGTACGTTGAGGACTCCCTGTGTTTTGGGGCAAGGAGATCTCCTACAATGGAAGCAGGTTAGATTCCATCTAACCAAGATCCGTAAGACAGCCTGAAGATTCGGAAATCATCTCTATTTGTTTAAAAAAGAAAAGAGAAACGAATTCTTAGGGGATTTTTTTTAAAGGAAGGAGGCGCTGATCCATCCTGGTGCTTAGAATAATTTCTGTTAGAGGCCTCTTTTTGTGACGGTCTTCATTCGTGGCTTACCTTGTGGCCAGAGTTTAAAAAACATGGTTTGTTCTGCTGGGTGGGGAAATATCTTTTGTGTATTGTGTGAATGCCTAAAGCGGCTTAATTTCCATTTTTGGGTTTAGCGTTTTAGGTACGAATGCTTGTCTAAGATTGCTTTGTCCGAAACGACGCTTCTCACTTTTTGAGGAAATTCCCGTTTTGGAAAAAAACAAATAAATCAATAAAAACACATATTTTTAAAACGTTTTGTCCTTTTTACTTGGATCCATTTGGAGAAGGGAAGGGAGGGGATCCCCCATCCTTGTGCAAAATACACACTTATTTGTAAAACTACACGTGTCGGGATTCCAACTCATACCCCCAACGAAGTTTTGAGTTTCCTCAAAGTTCCACTTTATTAAAAGTAAAACTTCACCTCGCGCATCTGCTCGTCTCTGTTTCGAAGCCGAAGAGCCGGCGCTGTCCGAAGACGCCTCCGTCGTCATGTGGCCGGCATGACTCAACACCGAAGACGCACGGAACGCTGTTCCCTTCCCACCAAAGGTGGCTCCTATTTGTCTACTTGCATTTTTTTACCTGCTTTCGAACTGCTAGGTTGGCAGAAGCTGGGACAAGGAACGGGAGCTCCCTCCGTTACGCGGCGCTCGGGATTCGAACCCCTGAACTGCCGACCCTTTTGATCGACAAGGTCTTAGCCCCTGAGCCACCGCGCCCATTTTATTAGAGACGTCATATTGGCACATCTGGGAAAACCCGAATTTGAACGTTCCCAGGTTTCCCCCCCCCCAAACAAGCCCCTGCCCATCACCCACATGTCCACCACGTGGCCCAATCGGGCACCATCCAAAACTGGAGATGCCTCCCAGTCACGCCCCTCAAGGTGCAGGGCAAAGTGTCCTTGACTCTCTGAGAAAGGAATGTTATTTTGACTATATATGTCTCCCATTCTCCACATAATCCCCTCTCCCATTTTCCCACAGTAAAAAATGTGGCGGGCCTAAATTTAAAAGATGGTTTCCGGGTCTAACAACATGTCCATCCCGTGGCCCAATCAGGCACCATCCAAAACTGGAGATGCCTCCCAGTCACACCATCGCAGCTGCAGGGCAAGATGACCTTGACTCTCTGAGAAAGGAATGTTATTTTGACTATATATGTCTCCCATACTCCATATAGTCCCCTCTCCCGTTTTCCCTCAGCATTGAAGTGGCAGGCCGGAAGGCCCAAATTTAAAAGATGGCTTCCAGGTCTAACAACATGTCCATCCCATGGCCCAATCGGGCACCATCCAAAACTGGAGATGCCTCCCAGTCACACCATCGCAGCTGCAGGGCTAGTTGTCCTTGATTCTCTGAGAAAGGAATGTTATTTTGACTATATATATCTTCGATACTCCATATAGTTCCCTCTCCTAGTTTCCCTCAGCATTGAAGTGGCAGGCCGGAAGGCCCAAATTTAAAAGATGGCTTCCAGATCTAACAACATGTCCATCCCGTGGCCCAATCGGGCACCATCCAAAACTGGAGATGCCTCCCAGTCTCACCATTGCAGCTGCAGGGCAAGATGTCCTTGACTCTCTGAGAAAGGAATGTTATTTTGACTATATATGTCTCCCATATGCCATATAATCCCCCTTCCCATTTTCCCTCAGCATTGAAGTGGCAGGCCGGAAGGCCCAAATTTAAAAGATGGCTTCCAGATCTAACAACATGTCCATCCCGTGGCCCAATCGGGCACCATCCAAAACTGGAGATACCTCCCAGTCACACCATCGCAGCTGCAGGGCAAGATGTCCTTGACTCTTTGAGAAAGGAATGTTATTTTGACTATATATGTCTCCCATATGCCATATAATCCCCCTTCCCATTTTCCCTCAGCATTGAAGGTGGCAGGCCAGAAGGCCCAAATCAAAAGATGGCTTCCAGGCCTGACAACACGCAATAAGACACGAAGTGTGCACAGAAGATCAACAAAGAAAGTTGTAGGTATTTCCCCAAGGGAAGTTTTTAAGAAGAGATTGGACAACTATTTGTCTGAAATGGTACAGGGGGTCTCCTGCTTGGGCAGGGGGTTGGACTAGAAGACCTCCAAGGTCCCAACTCTCTTATTCTGCTATCCCTCC